TCCTTTCTTTTATTTTATTTTCTTTCCCCACATCCTCTTTTTCCCAATTTATTAAGGTGAAAAGTTTAGTTATTACTGTTCTCCAATCACACCCCCCACCTCACTTCCAGAAAATCTGCCCCTCCTGACTCTTTTCACATAGTTCTGACTCGCTTCTGAATATTGACATTGAGGGCCCCAAACTGTTGCATTTGTAAGGGACAGGTCCCATGACCCAAAAGAGCAGAACTGATGTATTTTCAAAGTTCTCTAATCTGAGGTTTCTGTCTGTATCACATACAGCTTTTGAAAAGAAAACTGCTCACTGGTTAGCTAAAGAGATCCTGTTTAAAGTCCACCCAGTCAGTGCAGCAATCTTACTAATTCCAACCATAAAGATAAGTCTGATATCTCAAAAGTCATCTCCATTTAGGTGGAGGTGGATCAGCACCTTTTTCCCTGAAGTCTACCTCTTTACCTAGATTTCAGTGCCATATGGTTCTTCTTTTTTTGTTCATTCTTCTCAGACAAGGGGTAGCGCTGCTTGTGTGGCTGTAGACAAAAGCGACTGTCCTGTGGTTGGACTGTGGAGTGCAGTTGTGCTGCAGCAGTGCCTGGCTAAGACACCTCCAAAGTGCAGCATGTCTAACTTGCATCCGAGCTTTGGTGACACCATCATCTTTATCCAGACATTTCTCCTGGTAATTTACCTTATCTGCTCCTTCTGTGCTTCTGCTTCAGCTCTGAAGTCTGATTACTGCCTTTTGGGAGCAGGTTTAAGATCATACATACCTGATGTGAATGGACAGGTTGCTCTTATTTGTACCTGCCAGAATTAATCATCTGATCAATTTGCAGTCTCGATACATTTATGCAGGCCCCTAAAAGGAAGTTTAATGTCATGGTTCAGCATGTTAGATTTGTAGAAGAGGGAAAAAACTGACCTCTTTACCCCTCTCCCATGCTGGCACTGAGCTGTGTGTGCACTGCCGTGCCCTCGGACAGTCAAGGGCAGGGGAGCACTGAGCTCCAGCACGAACCCCACTGGCAAAGTACCAGCTGAGGAGAGATCACAATTTGCAGCAGTTCAAGATTATTTGAGTTTGACTCCTGGCCCAGCTGCTGTAGAGGCCAGTCTGCTTGAGCACTGTGCGAGGCTGTAAGTTCACCCTGCTCGCATGGCCGTGTTGGTGCTCGGGAGCTCAGCAGGGCTCCTTTATCACTTACCTGGTGATGGCACAGGGACCTCTCACAGCGAGCTCACCGGAGACCCCTGTAACACCACTGCTCCTTTCACGCCTTCCCCCGGCATACAAACAGCTCCTTTCAGCCCAGCCCTAATTGCACCTGGATCAGCTGGTAAAACTAGCTGTGTCCTTAAAACGAGCAGTTTGAAAATGAGCTCTCTGAGCGCTACCTCCTTGAGCACTGGGCTGGAGGCTCAGATCCAGTGTGGGATGCGGTTGATCTGGCCGCATCATTCTTCCAGGAAGCCTACAAGAATGAATGTTGCAGGGTAAACCTGCTCGATTAGCATAGCTGAAAAACAAATCAGGCTCTAAGTGATTTATGAATGACATGTAGCCCCCGGGGGATACAGTCCTGCAATCCCTCTCCTGTAAGCACAGGCTCCCCTGTCTGCCCACCCTGCTGGGGGAAGTAGAAGAGCCAGCAAAGCCAGTCCCGTAAATGCAACTAAGGACATGAAGTCAGTGCAGAAGGTGGAAGTGACGTTTGTCACCAGACTGTGGAAGCATGGCACAGGATGGCCATGGGGTACTTCTCCTAGAGCTTATGTAGCTTCTGGGTCACTTTGGAAAAGAAAAGAAAAATTGTGAAATGCTGCTGTGAAATGTGGCCTCATGGGCTTCTCCAAGCATTCGCGTAAATGTGGCTGATCACGGTCCCAGTGAAGTCAGCAGCAGCCCTGTTTGCATCATGGGGCCTGGCCTGCTTCCCCCAAGTAGGACTGGTCCCCAGATGGGGAGCGCGGCGGCACCACGGGGAGCGGGACACGTGCCGGAGCCCCAGCCCTGCGGCAGCTCCAGGTTGTGAAATCCGCTCCAAGGGTGGAGCCGCGATGACTTCATCTTTGGGGTTATCCTTTTGATATTTTTATTCTTCTTGCTCTCATTCGCTGCCAAAATGCATTAGAAACTGGAAGCTGCAGACAGCTCCCAAAAATGTGTACCCTCCTTTCTGAGTAGTCTTGTTACTGGGAACAAATAAAAGGCTTTCTTGCTAGATATTAGCACATGGAAAATTTGTATAGGGCAATGGGTTAAAGAGGGACACAAATTTGAGTGCAGAGAGGGGAAAAAGACATCAAAGATGCTTACAAGAGAGAAATGCAAATACAGGTGTGGAGAACATTATGGAAATAATATTTAAGAATACTTTTTTCATGTTCATTTTGATAAGATGACTCAGTTCAGCTGCCAGAACTGAAGCATATGGGATCAATAATAATAATTGAAAAGTAGAGAGAATGTGTGTAAACAGCGGGGGGTAATTCAGGAAGAATCAAGCATGTGTTTTGGCTAATTAAAAGCAAAATCCTAAATCTAAATGCCTGGTGGCACTCAAGATCACTTCAAGCGTTTTGCTCACATGTTGCCATCGTGGCCTGGGCTTGGGCTGCCTCAGGCCTTGGCCTGGGGTTATGCCTCATGCTGCGCCTTCACTTACTGTAATCTGAAGCCTACCTCCAGCCCCAGCAAAATAGCCCCTGGTCCCACTCCTCCCTTTGGGAAGGCAAGTCCTCGTTAGACTAAGGGTTTTGCATCAAATGTGCTCTGAGGACTTCCAAAGGGTGTTAAGCAGAAGCTGATAGTCTTGGCTAGTGGAAAATGGTTTTATTTCCCTTCCCACACTTATCCATATGCAGAAAAATAGGGAGAGAACAATATATGCTTGTAATTTTCATTAAGCTATGGCTGTAGGTGAAGTACTAGTGACAATGAGAGCCAAGGCTGGGCAACTGTGGTGTTTTATGAAGATCACTATATATTATTGTTTTATTGTCACAAATTTTTATTTTTTTATGCAATTGTCATTATTTATTTATGTACATATTTTGATCTCAACAACTGAGATGACCAGTTTCTTCCTAGAAGTTACTGCAAGACTGAAACATAGAGCAACTGTTCAAGGATGGGGAGGCTGAGGAAGGATAAGGCATTGGTACAACAAAGGATATTACTTTGCTCGGACAATATGAAGGCTGTGATTTCAACCGCCTTGTCAAGAAATGCCAGGTTTGGGAACTAGCAGGGTTTTCTTCCCTGGGTTGCAAGGGGACTCACATGATGGAAGGTGCAAGCATCTGTGCAAGGGGCCTGCTATGCAGTCCTGCAGCCTGTCCCAACTCACTGATGCAACCCTGAGTTTGAAGGAGTTAAACATTTCCAATAAGCATCTCCAAAGGCTTTTTTTTTCCCTTCATCTCTGCAAATCATTTTTCTCTCCAGAACGCGTTCTCAGAAATGACGCGTTCTCAGAAATGACTGAACCATTTTGTCTGAAGTTCTGCCCTCTCTCCTTCTTCTACCTTCTCTTTTTTTCTGGCTTACGCACATTCAAAGTGCCAAGTTCCTGTAAACCTGGCACTAGATTGTGGGTCTAACAGTAGTGTCATTAGACTGCAATATTCCCAGAACCTGGGAAGACAGAAAGAGAAGAAAGGCTCCTTTATATCCTGTGGGCTGCATAACGCAGCATGCATTATAGCTTCTTTCCCAAGAAGATTTCTTTTAGAAAGTGGATGCTGCTCTACTAAAAGGAAACAGACTATTTATTTTTAAACAGGATTTTGCTTAAAAGCATTTGCTCTGCTTCTCACTGCATATTTTTGTGTCTCATTCACACCACATACTTCAAGA